CCCCCCCTCCCCTTGGCTGTAGGCTTTAGAAGACGGAGTATGGGAACTCCTACAGGAAGCAGACAGGACGGCGGAAGAAAACCAGGAGCAGAGCCAGGTGTACGCTGCCATGGCCGACACCCTGGGGGACGCGTGGGCTGCCCTGGTCTCCATGCTTGAAAGAAGACGGGAGCTCCTCCAGTTGACTTCTGAGTTTTTTGAAAATGCCTTGGAGGTTTGTGCCGAAAGGAACTTCTCTCCTTCTCCAATCCTGACAAATGCTTGCGCTCATGAAGATGCTCTCTGTCCATAATGAGACATCGCAAATCAGACTAAAAAATGGAATAATAGCTAATGTAGATATCGTTTTTTGACTGTTGACAATGAAATTATTGATGATACAAATGTAGATGTTCAAATAAACACTAAGTAAGCAGATTAATAACTAAAACTGGAACTATTGCCCACAAGGTATCATGATTTCCCTTTTTAAGAAGCTAGTTAGGAAATCACTAAATCAAGCCATGAGTCCAGACGGCAGTATTATTAGGAAATGCAGAGTGTTCTGGTTGGCTAAATCTGGAAGATAAAATTTCTTCTGATCTTTTTAAAAAGCAATCGCAGAATATTCTACAGAATAAGTTTGGCCTTTGTAAACAATGCTTTTTAGAGTATTTTTGTAAGGCACATATATGGGTTTCCGTAGCTTGAGTTTTTAAAAATTCAAAAACAAACCAAAAAAAACCCTGAACCAACTGCTGTCGAGTTGACTCTGACTTACAGTGACCCTATCTAGAGTTTCTTAGGCTGTGTATCTTTACAAGAACAGACAGCCTCATCTTACGCCAGCGGAGATGCGGGTGAGTTCAAACCGCCGACCTTGTGTATTAGCCGCCCAACATGTGCTGTACACCACCACCAGGGCTCCTGATTAAGACACAAGGGAAGGAGCAATGGTGGCCTTAAAGAGGTCATCCCCTCCTGTGATTATTCTTAAATTCTGTGATCCTATAAGCAGGTTTCCAATTTTGACGTGTGGGATTCAGAGACCATTATCAGCAGAGGTGTTACATTTGGTGTGAGACAATTATCGGGAATTTCACTTCTAACCTCTCTGTCCAGTATGTTCAGTTTGATGGGAGCACGCTCACATTATGATGAAGCACTAGTTAAAAAATATGATATCTTCAATCTGAAAAGTTAAGACAAATCCACAATTATGAAAGAAAGAACATTGGTAATAAATTATAAAAATTGAGACAAACATATGCATCCTGAGCTTGTTTAAAAGAAAATAAGGCAGTAAATGAAACACTACAGCAACGTTTATGGTTTATTTTCCACTGTGTGAATGCTCTAGTCCAAGTGCAAGTTCATTTTACAGACCATGGTGGGAGGAAATCCATAAATTGGTTTAATTCTGTGAAAGGAATAAACCAGGTAAAGTACACCTACAGGTGCCAAAGTATGTATGCATTAATTTGTTCCATTTTAGAAAGTGGAATATAGGTGTCCTCTGTCCTTACAACTCAGCTCTTCTTCTTTTCAAAATCATTTTATTGGGGGCTCTTACAGCTCTCATAACATTCCATACATCACTTGTATCAATTGTATCAAACACATTTATACATCAACTCAGCTCTTCTGAGCACAGCAAATTATCTTCTTTCTAACATTAGTCCCTGATATTTATTTTCCATTACATAGTGTCTTTAATGGTAAAATAATTATCTCTGTGATGAGTAAATTGCTTTCAAAATTACATAAAGTGAAAGGAAATGCCAAATTAAATCATAATAGAATCCAGCAATGTAATTCTTACACTTGAGTTAGCCTTTATTGGATTTAGTGAAAAGTCTGTTTCTTGTACTTTCCTACTTGAATTTCTGTGGACTACTTCTTACTAAGCTGAAGGCAAACTCTTACATTCGTTTTCTTCTCTGCTTTTTGTGTGTTTTCATTAGACCTTTTTTTAAAGAGGGAAACCTAGCTAAGTGCTGAAGTGCCCAGCACCTTACCCCTAAACCATTGCCGTGTCTCTTCTGTATATGTTTCAGGAAAAAGAAAAGAGAAGGAAAAAAAATCCACAGATGAAAGTTTACTCAGAAACTCTTTGCGTAAAGGCTTAATTAGTTTATTTTAAAATATATTTACAGAGATAGAAATGCTACAGGAATGCCAAAACATTGGTGAAGTTCTACAGAGAAAAATCAAATTTCTGGCCAGAGGTCTGTCTCTGTCTCTGAAGCATCTCCTCAAAGAAGGTGCTTGAAAGCAGTTACTAGAAATGGAACGAATGAGAAATGTCTGTGGTGTGTAGATTCAGTCCTGTTACTGAACTCCGTGCATGTGCAAGTTCTTTAACGATCAAAATGACGTATTCAATGACTGATAAATTATTGCAGAAGGAGTCAAGCGTACAGATTCAGTCTCCCAGTGGGGTCTTCTCTTCTCAAATACCACACAGCAATTTAGGGACAGCGATGACAGCGGTGGTCACATCAGCTTGTTCTTACAAAACAGCAGTAGCCCCACTGACATGTCAAAGAAATTCAGGCTCTCCCATATTCTGTGCCTTTTACAACGGTGGATACTCTGCAGCGGTTGTAATAAGCAAAATACATTAGATCTTGTTGATCAAGTAGTTGCACAAATAGTCAAAATCTTTACATTCAAAGATGAGAATTTGAAGCAGAAGAAGACACATGCCTTAATAGGCTTTAGTGTCTTTTTCATTAATAGTCAGTGGTACTTTTGTTAATATATTTTAAGTCTAGTCCAAAGGTGAGCATACTGATCAAAATGTTCTGACAAAATTATAGTAGTTTCTCTTGAATCTTAGTGCTAAAATAACCCCAGTTATTTGTTTATTACAATGGATGTACTAGCACTCATGGTGGTACAGTCAGTTAAGCATTTGCCTGTTAGTCAAGGTCAGCAGGTCAAACCCATCAGCCACTGTGTGGGAGAAGGAAGGGCTTTCTGCTTCTGTAAAGATTGACAGCCTCAGAGACCCCTGACTCTGTGGCTATGATCAAAATGACGTATTCAATGACTGATAAGTTATTACAGAATCGACTGTACGGCAGTGGGTTTCTGTACTAGTATAACAACTATGTTTCCCCTTCTTCTAAATCTTATTTTTATTATTATTCCCTTGAGGATGTTAGTCGCATTTCAAGCATCTCTCTCCCCCTTGTATCTCGTCTATGGAGAAACACTGAGAATAGTCATCCTCTTTTTCATGCATAAGCACTTCTATGCTTTTTTCCTGAAACAAAGGAAGTTTCTTTATTTCTGCTGTAGCTAATTTTTATTTGTTAAAACGCATAAAAAGTCCTTCATTTAAAAAACTCAAACCAAAGCACAAATTACAGTTCTGAGGGTGAAAGTCTACCTTCTCATCCAAGTCACCCGAAATAATCTGTTGTATTTCCTGCAGACAACTTTTTCTTGCTTTTGACAACAGTTGGGATTAGATTACATATTATTCTGAAATTTGCATTTTTTCACAGAGGACAAAATAACTATTTTAGCTTTCTCTTGAACTAAGTACTTAGGCTAAATCTATGGTTACATTTCAGCCAGTTTTGGGTTGGTTTTTCTTAACAAGCTTCCTTTTTTTTTCTTCACTTCTTTTTTTCAACAAACTGCCTTAGAATATTGAGAGTGACTCAATGCATCACCGAGAACACAGTGATCTTAGTTGAAAACATGTGATAGACAATTCAGCAGTAAACAAGTTGGTTGATTTTAGCATTTAGGACATTTCTAGGTAAGAAAGCAATCCAAAGGGAGGAGAAGAACATTTTCCCCTGGCACCTTGTAAACTGGCTACACGGAAACACACACATGTACCACCTCCACTGCCGCCGCCACCACCTCCACCTCCACCTCCACCGCCACCACCACTACAACCACCTCCACCTCCACCACCACCTCCTCTACCACCACCTCTACCACCACCACTCCACCTCTAACATCACCAACCTGGTTTTCCCAGGGGACTCAGCCTCTCAGGA